TGCTATGCACATAGCTGAGCATGTGTCCTTGTGATATGATTGAGCATTCCTTGGGTATATGCCCAAGAGTGGTATCTTTGGGTCTTGAGGTAGATTGATTCCCAATTTTCTGAGAAGTCTCCATACTGATTTCTAAAGTGGCTGTACAAGTTTGCACTCCCCAGAATTTCATTGTTAAATGGCTGAATAGTACTCTGTTTTGTAAATTTACCAAATTTTCGTGTTCAATTTATTAGTTGATAGTCTGGTCTATCTATTATGAATAAAGCACAAATTAATGTATATGAGCAGTTAACTCTATAGTAGCATGTGGAGATTTTTTTGGTATGTCCCCAAGAGTAATCTAGATGGATCACATGACTGGCACACACACACACACACACACACACACACACACACACACACACACACACACACGTACATGGTTCAGGAACCTTCACACTGATTTCCATAGTTGCTGCATTTGTTTGCACTCCCACAGCAGTGAATATGTCTTCCACTTTCCTCATATCTATGCAAGCATATATTATCATTTAGTTTCATGATCTTAGTCATTCTGACTGAGGATGTTGATTATTTTTTAAATATATCTCAATCATTTGGATTTCATCATTTGAAAAGGATCTGTTTAGTTCCATGCCCCATGTTTTGTTTGTGTGTTTGTTTGTTTTGGTTGGTGTAGTGTTTATCATTTATACCATATCCTCAGGAGAGAACTTAATTTTTTTTTTAAGTTGGAGCATAATACTGACCAAACTTTAGCTTAGCTCTCCCATTGAAACTGGGACTCAGAGTGATGTGTCCCTGAGTGCCTTTGTTTAAAATAGATGGCTCCCAGACCCATAAGATAGGCATTAAAATGAAAAGAGATGGAAGTAAGGTTGTGATACTATCTAAAAACTAAACTGTGCTCAGAAAGACAAATATGACATGGTTTCTCTCATATGTGGAATCTAGAATTTAAAAAATACATATGACATGGTAACAAAACGGATTCCAATGAAGGAAGAAAAATGTCTAAACAATGGAGTAAGGGAAAAGGAAGGTTAAGGACAGAGGAGAAGGAAAATATTCCAAGTGTGGTCTTATATGCAGAATGTCTGATCTCTCTTATCTCTCTACCTGTTGTCTAGCTATGCCTTTACCTATTTGTATGTATGTATGTATGTATGTATGTATGTATGTATGTATGTATGTATATGTATGTAAGTATGTATGTATCTATCTATCTATCTACCTATCTATCTTATCTATTTATCTATCTAAGAATTACATAGTGAGACCTTGTCTCAAACAAAGGGAATCAAAAAGAAAGCAAGAAAGGCAAGCTAAGTGATATTTTTCTGAAATGAGACAATGATGACATGCTCATGGCAAGTTTACTTCAGTGTGTCAGAAGGTAATTGTTTTCCTGCTCGACCAGGTAAATCTTCCTGTATACCTCACTCAAGAACTAAAATTAGGATATATGGTAACAATGTAGATGATTTCTTATTATCTGCCTTTTTGGTCTTCTGAATAATTAGATTAATCCCAAAATGCACACATGATTAACTAATGCTGATATCACTAAAAACATTGATGACACAATTGCATGCTATATCACAGACCCTATCAATGTTCCCTCTCCCAGAAATTAGGCCATGTAGATGTAACAGTCTTATTAACTAAGAAACACAGAGCCAAATGCAGAGTTAAAAGCCCAAGTGGTCAGAGCAGTATCTAAGAGCTGAGACTAAAACCACCTTCTTACCACCCGCTGCTGTCCTCCCCTTCCCAAAGAGACCTAATTCCTGTGTATCTATCATTTTATTGACTTTCTGTTGTGCCTTCTCATTGGCTGTAAACCCAACTACATGACCTCCTCATCACTGCCTGTCTATACAGACCTCCAGGTCTTCTATGGTTGATATTGAGATTAAAGGCGTGTGTCTCCATGATGGTGGTGTCCTTGAACACACAGAGATCTGCCTGTCATGTGATCGGGATTAAGGGCATGTGCTACCACTGCCAGACTTCTGCTATGGCTTGCTATTAGCTCTGACCCCCAGGTAACTTTATTTATTAAAATACAAATAAAATCACATTTCAGCACAAATAAAATATCACCATAAGACCAGGCATCCTTTAGCTTTGTGTCCGTGACTGCAAGTTGATAAGGAAGTGTCATATATTACTTTCCCTCCACTTGCAACTGTGTACAAGCCTAGACTTCCCCTCTTTTAATCCCTAGACCAAGCACAAGCTATAATGAAACCTGGTTCTTCGCAGTGATTTCTTGACTTCTGACATGTAGGTCAGGTAAGGCCATATCTTGTAGTACGAAAATTGCAACCCCTATATTTACATTAGAAACCTATATGGTAAAGAACCGTTTTTGTTCTCTGAAGTGAAAGGTCTGCCTTGCCCTTCAGAAGTCCTCTGTTCTATCAATAGTGAAATGTCCTAATACTCCTTGTATCATGGGATTTGAAGGAAAGTTTCTCCACGTCCAGGAAGGGCCAATTATGCATGCCTATGGCTGTGATGCTTTATCTCTTCTAACACTTTCAGAAGTTAATTCCTAATCATGGCTGCCTGTGGTGGTGGTGCTAGCTCTACTAATATAGCTCATCTGAGGATAATTTTGTATCATTTTCTTTCAATGAACCTGCTTGTTAAATCCTAATACATAACTGCAGTGTTTTGTTTTTCATTTCTCTTGGAGGACAGGGGATGTGTTTGTGTGGACAGAGGGAGAGAGGGAGAGGGGAAGAGGGGGAGAGGGGGAGAGGGGGAGAGGGGGAGAGGGGGAGAGGGGGAGAGGGGGAGAGGGGGAGAGGGGGAGAAGGGGAGAGGGATAGAGGGAGAGAGGGGGAGAGGGAGAGAGGAAGAGAGGGGGAGAGGGAAAGAGGGAGAGAGGGAGAGAGGGGGAGAGGGAGAGAGGGAGAGAGGGAGAGAGGGAGAGATTGAGAGAAGGAAAGTTCGGCATCCGCCTAGATCGCCACCCTGAGGAAGACCAGGCTTCCCAGAGCAAACACTCCACTTTAGACTTTCCCTCCACCCAACCCCTTCCCAAGAACTCGAGTGCCCAACACCTTCGCGTCAAAGGAAATAAATAAATAAATAAATAAATAAATAAACAAACAAACAAATAAAGACATAGATAGATACATACATAGATACATAGATGGATACATAGATATATGGATACACACATAGATAGATACATAAATAGATAAATAAACAAACAAATAAGGAAGAAAGAAAAAAGAAACAAAGACACAAAGAAGCACACCAAGAACCCAGACCTTTGCCTTCCTCTTCCATTGGAACTTGGTGGTTGCAGAGGGACACACTCAACTTCTTGATTCACCAGTGCAGTCAATTTACAAACAGCTATGGATTGAAGCTGATTCCAGCCCCTCCTCATCCCCAGTCGGGACTGCACGTTTCCTTCCATCACCTAACTAATCCGTTACAAAGATAATTGGGCACACATCCCTACAGATCAACATATAGAGAAATGGATACCTAGACTTCTAGATTCAAAGATACAGAAAGAGCTGATACATAAATAGATCAGGAAAGTTCCGCATGCAGTCCACAAGCAACAAAAGGTAAAATTGAAACAAGAGAAGCTAAAACTGAGTAAAAAGAAAAGGCAATGAAATTGAACACCAAGACCCTAGAAAGAAAGTATGTAGGTGAAACGACGTGTCTGTTTGGCTGTGTGGGTGTGTCAAAAAAGTGGATAAGGGTGGGTTGTGGTGACACACCCATTTAATCTCAGCCCTCAGGGAGGCAGAGGCAGGTGGATCTCTGTAAGTTCCAGACCAGCCTACAGGTCTACAAAACAAGTTCCAGGACAGCCAGGGCTGTTACACAGAGAAACCCTATGTGCCAAAACCAAAAAAAAAAAAAAAAAAAAAAAAAAAAAAAGGAAGGATGGAAGGAAGGATAAAGAACGAAGGACAGTTTACGAAAAAAAATGGATGAGGTGAGTGGACTAAGAGATCCCAGACATTCTAACTCACTAGAGAAGAACAAGCATTGTGGAACCTCCCCCCACACACCACCCCCACCACCCAGACAGAAAACCAAACTATGGAAAACAAAAAGCAACCAAAAAGACACATACACATCACCTCAGGATTGCACCGTCAAAGGAGGCCCTGATTCAAAGTCACAGTGTTGAATCAGACAGAACCTGGAGTGAAAACCAGAGGTGTGGGTGCCAGCTTAGGAAGAAAAGTTTGAGTGTCCCAGAAAGGAAGTGATGGTGAGAGAAGTGTACCAAATTGGGGAGAGGAGCAGAAAAGGATATTGGTGTGTGTGGGTGTGTGCACGTGCATGTGCTCGTGTGTCTGTGAGTGAAACAGAGAGAGAGAGACGGAGTGGGAGAGAAACATAGAAAGGAAGAGCAAGTGAAAGAGGGAGCGAGACCAAGAGAGAGACAGAGAGAGTAAGAGAGAGAGACAGGGTGGTGGGTGTGTCGGAATGGATTGCATCTTTTTCTGGCACAAGCAGTGTGACTAGTTGGCATCTAGGGGATGCACACTAGGCTGGCATGAGCCGCTTGGGAGCGCACTGTGCCCAAAGCAGACAGAAGTTCCTACTTAGGGTCCCAAGTCGCAGGGGTCACCTGTAAGGGAGACAGTGGCCTGGAAGCCATCAGGTCTCTGTGCTTGTTTTCTCCCCCTCCCCGCGGTGCCCACCCCCTAGGAGATGAAGATCAGGCCAGAGATTTGGTCTGTGGGTGTGGCTTAGAGACCTGTAAGTCGGAAAGGGCGTGCCCAGCAGATGCAGCCTAGGTGTTTGATTGGGCGGTGGTGAGGGAGCTCGGCCCACCCACCGCCTTCAAAGCAAAGGGTGGGGTCGGGCAGAGCAGCAGTGAGGCAGAGAGTGCCAGCTGACTTGCAGGCCAGCCCAGTGTCCTCTGCTCCTGAGAGCCAGGCAGAGGGCTTGTCCAGTCAACCCTGCGGCTTCCGGGGTGCCCCCTCGGGTCTTCATCAGTGGACATGGAAGCCGCCTCCAGCGCAGAAGCCCTGCTGGAGCTGCAGCGGCACCTGTGCACGGAGACAGAGCCAAGCAAGCTCTACCAGACCCTCCAGAAACTCTCTTCCCTGCCCAAGCTCCGTGACACCCTGGCAGAGATGAACTTCGAGCAGACCCTGAAGCTCTTGAGGAAAGAGCAGCTCCTGGTCCCCTTTGCCAAGGACTTAGCGGCCATTTGGTCAGAGAGGTCCCAGTTGGAGCCCCATCCTGAGCCGGACCGGGAGGACTTTGCCTTCGCCTTGAGCCTGATGACATTGCGGCCCAGAAACTGTCCAGAAGACAAGCCCCGTGAGTCTGCGCCAAGGGAACAGACACAAGATGGGACAGAGGTCTTCCACGTGAGCAGCAGCAGCAGGAGCAGCAGCAGCAGCAGCAGCAGCAGCAGCAGCAGCAGCAGCAGAATCAAACACTCAAGTCCTGGCCGGAGCCCGAGCCCGAGCCCGAGCCCGAGCCCGAGCCCGGGACTTGGAGCGAGCCTGAGCCCACACACAAGGCTCC